TATATCATGCTTGTCACGTTGTCATATTCAAAAAAAAGTACATTAATGAGTTTTTAGTTTTTTTAGAGTGACACATTGTTGAAGTGTCACATTAATACCTGTCACATTGGAGTATCACATCATATCAATCACATTAATAAAACTGTATAGTTGTCCACCAAAATACTACCAAAATAAAAAAAATAGGACTACACGGAAATAAACTCTCCACTAATAGGACTTAATAGATTAATAGAAAAAACTTGAAACTAATTGGAATATTTATTTATGAGATGAGATTTATCAATAAATATTCCAAAAAAATATTCGCCTATAGTATATGTGAGTATACAAACTAATTAAATGTGTGTAATCACAAATTTTTTGATATAACACTTGTGGGGACTTATTATATTAGTAAAAGGATATAGTTGTCCACCAAAATACTACTAAAATAAAAAAAAATAGGATTATACGAAAAGAAACTCTCCACTAATAGGACTTAATAGATCAATGGAAAAAATTTGAAACTAATTGGAGTATTTGTTTGTGAGATGAGATTTATTGATAAATATTTCCCAAAAAAATTCGCCTATAGTATATGTGAGTATACAAAGGCCTCTTTTGGCAATAAGTTAAAAAAACTAGTTTTTTGGCTTTTTAGTTTTTTTAGTCAAAAAAGTCAGTTTTTTTTTTTTTTCAAAAAAGTCACCAAAAAGTCAACTTTTTATCAACTTTCCAAAACACTCCAAAGTAATTAAATGTGTGTAATCATAAATTTTTTGGACCTATCACATTAATAAAAGGGCATAGTTGTCCACCAAAACACTACCAAAATAAAAATATAGGACAACACGAAAAGAAACTCTCCACTAATAGAACTTAATAAATCAATTGGAAAAATTTGAAACTAATTGGAGTATTTTTTTGTGAGATGAGATTTATTGATAAATATCTACAAAAAAATTCGCCTATAATATATGTGACACAAAGTAATTAAACGTGACAAATTTTTTGATAAAAGATGAAAGGCTCCTTTCATTTAATGAAAGTTTTGATTTTGATTTTGATTTTGCCTTTATTTGTGATATGATTTTGATGAAAGGGTTGGAACACCTCCTTTGGCGCTTTTTATCAAAGTTCAAATTTGATAAAATATCTTATATTGGATTAGAGATACTCTAACAAGTTTGAAAGTAATATATATATATATATATATATATATATATATATTGATCAAAAGAAGAAAAAATGTATAATATTAAATAAATTAGGAATTATAAATTACTTCACAAAAAAAAAAATGATATAAATGTCTATATCTAGACCTATTTTAAGATATCCTGTGATGTGCAATCTACTATTTTGGACCACAGATTGATTTTTCCCTTTCAAAGGGAAATCCTATAGGGAAAATGCCACCGACCCCAAGTGGGGGTGTCGGGGGTCGTGCGTGTAGGGTCCTGATTGGGCGGAAATTTTTTTTTTTTTTTTTTTTTTTTCAACCAATGAGGCCGCGTCACGTCACTGGGGGTCAAACCCCCACTGGGGGTCTGTAACATTGTTCATCTTATAGTACTACCAGGGGCGACGCTAGCCACCGATCATGTTGTCAAGAAGTGTTGAAAAAAAAAAATTATAGTAAAAAAATTATTTGATAATCAATTGATCTTATTAAAAAAACCAAAGGGACTCCATTAAGAACCTGATAAATGTAAGAGATCTTAAATTTTATGTTTATAAATTCATGATGTGATAAAAGAGTTGAGCGTTGAATTTATGTATTTGAATATATGACAAATCAAAAATTAGTACTTATAATGCCACATTTGGAGAGCATTTTTAGAATTTCAAACATTTTTTTATGATACTAATCTCCCTCTGTTACATTTCTCTTATTGATATTCAAAACCAAATGAAATATCAATTGTAGAATAGAATGGTTGAATGATTGCTTGATTATATACATAATAAAAAATAACACTATTGACGATAAGATTATTATGAAACTATTAAAAAATAAATAAATAAAATTGGTAGAATGCAATTATAAAAATTTATGTATTTTTTTTCTATTTTGTTAAGACAATAGTGAATCACAAAATATATATAAGATTATTTTTTTCTATTATATATTTTGTATAACAAAATATATAACTTTATTTGTGAATCACAAATTATCATAATTCTTACCAAAACGTACGTAGCATTTATCATAAAATACATAATATTTATCAAAAAAAAAATATGGGTAATGCTACATCCCCTAAAAAAAACCCCCTAATCCCCCTAATTTCCATATTAAGTAAAAAAAAAAAAAAAAAAAGGAAAAAGTTGCCTAAAATGGAAATTAAGGGGATTAGGGGATGTTTTTAGGGCTCCAAATCATTTCCCAAAAAAAATACATAATATATGTGATACACATTTTTTTTCAAATGAGTGTGTACAGTGTTCCCCTTTTTCAAAAAGTAATGCCGAGATATTAATGAATGATTTGGCAGCAGCCGTGTCGACTTCTTCATTGACTCCCAAGTCTCTCTCTTTTTAAAAAGGTTAAATTAAATAAAATTAAAAATAAAAATAAAAATATGGCAATCTAAGATAGTATAAGAAGTGGCCATTCGATGGCAAACAGAACTCGGAAAAACAACAAACAAAAATCTTTTATCCTTCAAATACGCTCAAATTTTGGCCATCCATCCATCATGGTCACAAAATATATTATTATGCTACCAAAATCAATTCAACTTCTCCATGTGTTTGTGGTTGTGCTTTCACTATTATTATTAAACTACATACCTGTTCTTGGACTTTCCTCGGGAGGAGTTGAAGCTGCTAATAAAATCAGGTGCATAAAGAAGTCATGTTACTGAGACGAATATTTTTAACTTCTTCTTCTTCTCTTTGAAAATTTTCTCTCTCTAAAAAAACCTCCACCTCAGGGCCTCACCGCTGGCCAGCCGGCCGCCGCCTTTGGCCATGGCGGTTGGCTGGCCTAGCTTTTCCTCTTGTGTTGTTGCTTTTTCTCCTATTAATCTTGAGCCCCCTTTTGTTTTTCGGTTTTCTCCTTTTACAGATCTAATCTCTAGATTTGATTAGGATGCTGTTTTGTGCTTTCGTTTTTGTTTAGGGTGTCTGTTCTCTCAGGTTTTCTTTTGGGTCTTTAGCTGTGTTTTCCTTGGGAGGTTTTAGATCTATCTTTGCTTCGGCCATGGTGTTCAGTTTTGGCCATGGATTTCGGTTTAGGGTGGCTGCGTTGATCATGGGTGGGTTGGTTCAGGAACTTCATTCGGATACCCAGAATATGTGCGTGGAACAATGATGCAGATCCACATATATGAAAATAGTGTATACCCAGCTGGTCATCCTAAAGTACAAACTCATTAGTGTATAGTGCTAATTAAACATCATTACAAAGGAAAAAAGCAAATATCCTAAAGTACAAACTCATGTTCTGACTAATAGAGAGTATATGTTGAGGGTTCAGATGTATCTTAAAGCAACAGAGACCTCAGATTGTGAGGATGTGAGGGCTGTGAGGATGTGACAAGGATTATATTAAGGGTTGTGAGGATGTGATCTAAATTTATAAAACATAGTTCCTTCTCAAACTCTAAAATGGCCCTAATAGATAGTAAATTTAGCATTGTCAGGTGTTTCTTCAAAGATGCATGATAAAAAATAAGGAATAAAAAATTGAAGTACTAAAAAATAACAAAACATTTTCTGTGTTACATTAAAAGAGTAGGTCTTCCATTGAAGTTAAGCACTTGGAAACCACAAAAATAGGCAAAATAAAATGTTTCCTACAGCATTTGACGGCAGTGCATCAAAATCTTAAGAGAAAAGATACGGATCATGAAAAAATTTTCATGAAATTGATCATGAAAAATTTATGGCTCTTGGATTACCTTGGTTAGTGTGTGGTGGGTGTCAGTGCTTTAGGTGGTCTTCGGCAGGTGTGGGTGTTCTTTGTGTTTCAGTGTTAGGTGTGGGGCTCAAGAGTTTGAGTTGTAGTTTTTTTGGGTTTGTTTTGTTGTTTTATTTGTATTTTAAAATATATTTTGTGAGGTTAAGGGGTCGGTTGTAAAGACGTGAGTAGTAGTAGTAGGAGAGTGAATTTTTACTCTTCGAATCTCTCTCAATACGTTTTTTTTCTTGTACCTTTTAAATTTCATGTTTTAATGGAATTTTTTCTTTGCCGATCAAAAAATAAAATCAGGTGCATAGAGAGGGAGAAACAAGCTCTTCTCAAGTTTAAAGAAGTTGTCTATGATGATGGTATTCTCTCTTCTTGGGGGAATGAAGAAGATAAGAAAGACTGTTGCAAATGGAGTGGAGTCCTTTGCAACAACCGACAGTTACAGAAATGCACCAACCGGATTGCTGGGTGGGGTGGAGCTCAGGTTATTTATTATTATTATTATTATTATTATTTGGAACACTCGGTGGGGTGCTAGGTTTCAAACAAGTGAAAACTGCATTAAAAGAGTTAATACTAACATCACTAGCATCTTAAAGATGCTATGCAGAAGCAGTACAGACTCATTTCAGATACTCTGTAAAACGTGACAAATAACTCACAAAGAAAGCCCACTCTACCAGCTGATCAGTTTTTATAATCCAGCTGTAGTTGGAATTAGGAATGAATCCAGAGAGAAGCAAATTATAATCCCACAGAAAATTAGAAATGAAGTGGAGTCGATATAACACAGTAATAGGCCCCTCAACTCAACCCACCATCCTATCTAAAAAAAAAAAAAACTCAACCCACCATGGTTTCTGTTAAGCATCAATTGAATCAAGAAACTTAAAGCAGTAAAACATGAGCATTTAGCACCACAACCAAAAATCAAAGGCAACTGACTACCTGCCAGAGTAAAGTAGGCCAGGCACCTGCATTATGGTAGGACCAAGGACTGCACCAAAAACCACAAAGGATGGTGAGATACAATTTATTTATTTATTTTTTAAGCCTTAGTTCAAGGATGAAGAACTATCACTTCTTCAAGGTAGAAATATTACGTGTTCTTTGGATCACTGCCTGTAATAATCGGCCACTCCTGACCTTCAAGAGCAGGATAACATATCTTGAATGGCATGTCTGCTACCAAATCTGCCCATTTGGCTTCAATGAGATCCAATATTGCGTGTGACTGATCTGCTGTCGCAAGACTACTCACCACAGACCACAAGTTTCCAAGAGAAAAGAAACGGAAATCCATGTGAGCGGGTTGTAAGTTTCCAATTAAATAACCTCCTTTATTAGGCATCCATTCCACAAGCCAAGGAGAAATCTGATCTGGGTAGATATTGAACTTGTTCACAGCATCATATGAGTACTCTTCTGTCTTGTAGCGGTAAATCTCATTGAGTTTTCTCATATCAATCCAATAATACTCTCTGATATGGAACGATAATGCCACAAGACGATTGTTCACTGCTCGGATTAGGTCAGCTGATCCATCCTCCGGAGCAAGCATTTCACGTGCACAAAGTAATGCTGAATAAAATAGTGCCTGCAACAACAACATGAAACACCCTACCAAAATAATACTGTTTTATCTTACCAAGCATAAAGATGATAAAAATAAAGAAAATCTACCCTGGTACAGTTTACATATATCCAACATATAAGAGAAACATTTCAACAAATAAATAAATAAATATCAACAACATTTTGCTAGTGATATCTAAAGAACAATCAGTACCACATAGATGTCAAGATTTGTATCAAATTTTAGATTTAAATTTTTTATCAGATTCAAATGTTAACTAGAGAATCATCTGACCGCCACTGTATCTTCTCTAAAATCATCAACCTTCAGCATAGTCAACCACAACTAAAAATAACCACCTCTCTAGGACAATCATTTCTAACATTAGGATTGGCAATATGTCTTTCATAGGCACACACAATGGCCATAGCCCAAGAAACTTTCTTCTTAAAAAGAAACTGAAAACACATCCAAATAACAATAATATGAACAATTTACTAACCTGAATTTCCAGAGGGTGACCATGAATCCCCATGCAGCGATCTATCATACAAGAACCATCTGTCACTAATAAAGTTGGGAACATATCAAAACCATCAGCAAGACATAGCCTCAGAATCATTTTAATTCCAGTTTGGACATCAATTCTCTCCTGAACTGAGAGATCTCCGGAGCATTTTCCATATGCACGCAACAGTATAATCCACCACAATCCTGGAATTAATATCATAAAATGAACAGAAAAAAAAATGCATAAAATTCTAATACCAGGATATGTATATTTTGCTTAATAGGCTTTTTGAAATAATATGTTTATTTACCAGAATCAACAGGTGCAACACGACCAATTGCTGCCTCTCCGAAATCAGGATCCAATACCTCCTCTGCTGCTGAGTCATCACCATCCAGGGGAACTGTGCGCACCTTGAAACTAGCAGGCATCAATCCTTGACCAGGACTATGACAGTCCATAGTTTTCTCCCAGCTCTACAAAATAAGGACTACACAAGTCATGCATACACAAGTCATGCACAATTATACACTAAAATGATCAATTCTAATCACATAATTAACTATGTCAGTTGTATGCATTACAAGTAAACACCTGTGGACCAAATACACAACTAAGGATTACATATATGCAGTGTATTTGCGACTAGTTCAGTACTCAGTTTCCATATGACATGAAATCCAGAATGGCATAAGCACCATTGTTCTATTATTCAACTATCCATCTTACATACAAATGCATGCAAGGAGCGTGTAACTATGTTACATGGAAAGCATATTGCTTTAGTGAGCAGGGATGAGGTATGCCACTTTTTCTAGTTAATAAGTAGCAGAACACAGTATGCCCTTCTTTTCTTCTTTGGTAAGTACAAGAACATGGTGTGCTGCATACCCTAAAACAAAGTACACTAGATGCAGACTTGTACAAGTCTCATAGTTCCAATTGGCGAGGGGTTTTTGTTATCGTACTAGTTTTCTTTTTCTTTTCTTTTCTTTTTTTGGGCCAAGTTTCATTAGAATTGTTGCCCTTTTTTAAGAAATGCAAGAGTGATTTTCTTTTAACATGTCATCAATAATGAAATAATATTATGAAAATGCATTGTTTATCGTGTTCAAACTTTCTTATACTAGAATTAGTTCCCAAAATAACATCAAAGCCCTTCATGGGCATGACAACAAACGGAAAAGGAAGTCTATGGTCGGCGACCTCTATATCACAACCTCTAACACC